CTGCAAAACCAATAGCAAAGGTTACAAAAGGTAACACATAGGTGAAGGTCAGCGATGGTATGCATTGAGTGGTACTAACAGCACATTGTAGGGAAATTGGTTGAAGTTCCAATGCTTGGATGTCATAAGAAAGTGTGAACTCTTCTCTTTTTATCAACCTGCAAAATCAAAAGCAAAGGTTACAAAAGGTAACACATAGGCGAAGGTCAGCGATGGATGAATCAAGCTATGAGAGAACAAAGAATCATTTTAAATGTTACAGATAAGGTTATGAAGCTTTCGCCTATGTGTATCAATTGGAGAGAAACATGCCTTCTCATGTGCAGAATGAAACACTAAGAGGTTCCTTGAGCACTCTCAAATTGTAATTCTAGTAGTGGGTTTAACTTTAACCTCACTAAGTACATAAACAATAAACCAGTTGGATTTGATTAACGAAATCACAAGCTAAATGAATTTGAAAGCATGAAGAGACCCTTACGCAAGACCAACAGCAAGTCCTCAAGCCACCCGTCTGTTCAATTCATTCGAGCCACCAACAATGAACACCGACATCATTCTCTGGAACTAAGGCAGAGATTTGGGAGGTGGCCTTCCTAGCACCTGCAAGTAACCATTGGCAAATCTTCTGATTGTATATAAGTAGCAAATTCTACTTGTAGAAGTAGAGCACGTTTAGCTTATAACCACATCCCTGGCCTAACGTATCCATATGCCAAACGAAAACCAGGTTTGAAAACCTCGCCTGCGCGAGAAATCGCTCAGCTACAATCCCTAGCCAAGGGCCAAGGCCGCAAACCAAACAATCCCTCCTGTCGTTCCTCACCCCCAATCCCTCCCGCCGACGACCTCCGTCCCTCCCCACCCAAATCCCGTTGTTGTTGTCGACCACAGGGAGGAAGAAGAAGAAGAAGGCTGGTAGTTGTCGCCTCCCTCCGCTGCAAATCGACCGGAGCTGCCGCCAGAGGGAAGACGAAGCGGACAGCAGAAACGCTATGAGGGAGCTTCTCTGAGGACGAACAGTTCTCTCAATTGGTCGTTCGTCCCGTGGCCTTGTAGCAAATTCACGATACCTCCACTTGGTCGGTCGTCCGGTGATTCAGAATGAGATCGCTAGCAAATACGAGCAAAAAATAGGGTTCGTGGCTGGTCGACTGGAGGAGAGGAGTTCGGTGGTTGGCAGGCTTGTTTGCCCTTGCCCGGCCACCGGCAACCACAACCAGCCTTCCCAATTTGCGATGCCCGGTTCAGTTCAGACGATCATTTTGGGTCTCGCTGAAGACGGAAGGACCAAAACCGTAATTAACCATTTAGAAACGGAAGGACCAAAACCGTAATTCACTTCACGTCTTTATCCAATATCTAACAGCAACATAGAGGAATTTACCTCCTTACCCCTAGCCCTTTCACAGACTAAAAGGGGTATGATGGTAAAAGCCATGCCTTGTTGTCAGGCGTGGGCTACAAACTCGGGGGAGGGAGAGAAAGGCGACAGATCCGCGCTCTGCTCTCTGCTCCGCTGCTCTCTGCTCCGCTGTGCTCTTCCAGTCTTCCTTGCTTTTTGCTGCTCGTTCCGACCGACCTCTGGTAGGCTCGCCGAGTCTTTTCTTTTTGATTCCGTCTTTGCGTTCATTGTGTGCTTGCTGTTCTTCGTTTCTTTACGTTGTTTTCTTGTGGAAAATGGAAACACGACGCTATTCTTCAATTTTTCTTTGCTCAACCTGATTTGCTCGCCAGCTCCTGTCTACATCTTTGATGTCGTTGGTTGCATCCCTTCTGTGCTTGCTGCTGTGCTATTCTGCGTTTCATTTTGTTTGTTTTCTTGTTGGAAAATCGGGATACTCTTTCTTCGTTTCTTCTTTGATTTTCTTCCGGATTATGGGTTTGCCAATTAGTATGCGAATTTTGACGTTTGTTTTGATACTTTAGGCAGTGAGAATGCCTGGGATCTCGATCACTTTAGTCGTGGAGGAGACCGCCACTCTGGTCTACCATCCAGACCTCGAGCCGGCGTTCCCCGTGGCGGACGTGCTGTTCTTGAGCGGGGATGAAGACTTCGCGGTGCTGTACCCGCTGTACTACGGCAGCTCTTTGGAGGCGACGGTGCTCGGACGCTATCTGGACTCTGGAGCGCGCCATCCATGCCGGCGAAGGAGTGGTCGCCGATCTGGAGTGATCGGCCGGTGGTGAGGTCGCTGTTTGTCTGTTTCGTTCTTCTTTTGGGCTTTTAGTGAAATCCACTTCTTGGGTTGGGTTATGTTTTGTCTATTCGGATATTTGGGCCGTGATGAGTTTTGATATGTGATCTTTTGCTGAGCTTGCTATGGATGTTAATTTCTATCTTTGACGTTTTCTACTGCTCAGTTATCTTCTTGACTTGGTTAAAACAAATTTTAACAAGCTTTCACGGTGCATCTTAGACTGAAACTGAAGATTGTCATTGCGTTCAATCCAACTATCACAGTCTAATTCATATAAAGAATAGGATTTGGTAAAAGAATATTTTGCGGGTCAATATCATATTCACGAACCTCCTTCTGAATTTGCCACTTTAGCTAGCTATTAGATACTTACTCATCAAGGGATTCACCGGGTTCCAGAAGAACAACACAGTGGCAACAATCACCACTACCTTCCATCGTATTCCCAGAAGATGGAACACCAAAAGCAGCAGGAGGAGAACCCAGATGGGGGAATAACCGAATAAGGAACAAAGTATCAATAAATTTCCTCAAAATCTCCAATCAATGGCAGGCCCTGATACTCCACTCCTTTTGAACCCAGTTCAATGAATAGACAACTCATCCGTTGTTGCTGCTTTGGAAGTTACATTTACGCTGTTGTTACGAAAATCACTCTCCCGAATACATTACATATAGTAGAATCCGCGATATAAATAATATGCACAATTAGGACAAGTAAACCGAATTGCCATAGCTCAATCAAACACATTACGCGATCATATACCAGAAACATTATCGAACGCAACCTTCTCTGACACGGGGCAGCATATCCTAGTTTCCATTGGTACTCCTTGCAAATAATCAGGCTTGTCGTCTGGGAAATATCTCATGCCATTTTGGGTGTCTGAACACAGATGCTCCCACTGCCTGCAAAGAGCCATCCATCTAGCTAGTTCCAGATCTTAATTTCTCCATTTTTCCCCTAACCCACAACTCAAACAATTAAGCAAATAACCAAAAATGCCAGTAAGAGAAGAAGATCCAAAGTCAACATTGCTGATATGATTGCTTTGGACCTTTGAGATCAGAACCTCTACTGCTTTGTGAAAAGATTCCATGCTCTTCTAAACATTACATGCTCTTCTAAAGTAGTTAGTCAAGAGAATGAATACCAGCAACACATTAAGATTCAGGAATTAGATGTTAGTCAAAGTTCGGTGATCTTCGATGACTAAAGCTAAAGCACATTTATGGAATGCTCAAAATGACTTGAAACATGAAATAATGATGATATAGAGTGGGAATGCCATACATTGTATCAGACTACACAATAAACTATCTGTTGCACAAGGTGGATCAACTTTTGAAATTTACCTGGTACAGAGGACGCCGGTAATCAGAAACAAGCAAGTCCTTTTTCTAAGATGAGTATTATAATTTCTAAAGAAAGTCAGACAGCTTTTACGATGAGTTGTCCATGTATTTGACTAGTCCGTTCACTGATGATTGAGTTGACTCCTTGCCCATAATATTTTGGAAAACAGCCTTGCCACTCATGAAATCCTGCCAAAACAAAGAAAGAACTTCACCTATAGGCTACAGCCACACTTTCGGACCAGGTATAGAGCCAAAACATCTTCCCATGGACACTGTAGCATGATGCAGAACCAGCTGACCGAACATTTACAAATACCAGTAAGCATACAAGTTACTATCAGGTTCCAAAGAACAGAAAACAGGACAGGGAAAAGATAATTGGAGAGTTACCTTCAACTCCAAGACAGGAAGCTGGCATCTGAAGCTGAGACAGCTGAGACTGACTAACAACACTATCAGTATCGATGTCATACATGCTCAGAATCCTGCAGAAGAAACCAAGCAGACAACCACTACAAGTAGCTTGAGAGTGATAGAAAATCTGACATTAATGTAGTCATTCAGTTGCCCAAAAGCTGCAACCAGAATCCATAAGCTGTCTCAACATTTACGAACACAATTTGGGGGAACGACAAAACAAACAACTCAAGGGAGAATATATTAACTGTAGGTAGACTAAGAAATAAACTACCCCTTGCCCATAAGTGAAGTCAGCTGGTAGAGATAAGCAGATCAAGTTTGCCAAAATGACAAACCTGCTCATACTTGATTTATTTTATTCAAGCTCAGTAAGGATGGCTTAGAATGGACAACATAATATAAAGTTCAAGATGGCAATAAGAACACAATGAAAGCATGACTATGATCATATGCCTTCCATGAAAGGGAAAAACATTAATGGAAGGAATGACACAGACAATTTAATGTTTCAAAACCTTCATTAGAGAAATCGGCTGCTGCCTAAGACCACCATTGATCAGATCTATTGATTTGCAGATACAAGCAATTAAACAGTATCTATCTCATTCAGATGGAGATCATCATTCAACTTCAAGGCCAACAGTACAACACATAGCTAAATGTCAAGTAAGGAACAAAACTTAACTCGGAATGAGAATTCCAGCAGAGCATGAAATGCATATTCCAAAAGCACAGAAGATCAAGAGACGCTTGTTTGTGTTCGTACAAGCACGGTAAATATCTGTGCAGTTCAAACCAAAGATGAGCAACTAGGTTCACATCATACAAAGACTTTCCAACAATTGCAGAGTAGTCTTATGGCTCCTGGACCCAGTTGCATTCTCATTCACTACTACATTGAAAGGCACAAGGAGAATACTTAGCATGTATAGTGCACCAAGTCATCCATGCCGGCAGAATCCTTTGGCATCAGATTTTATGATAGCTGCTTTTATGCAAAGCAAAACATAAAAATCTAAAGCTCGTTGCTGCAAATTCTTTTCTTGTAGCGTTCTTATCGTACATGCCTGGTCAATGAAAATTGCTGCAAATTCTTGATTGCTGTCCAGAATGCCCCAACCACAGCTAAAGATGTACTACACAGATTCAGATTCACCAAACAGATCATTATCATCTAGAATGCGAGGGAATCAGTTTTTATTTTTTGATACAAATTCAAAGATGCACAAACTAAATGTGATAAAGTCGATCATAAAAGTTGTACGCAACTTCCTCCTCATCAAGCAGAGTAGCCTCCTCTTCATCGTCAATCTCTTCATCGTCATCCTCTAAATGCAAGGCATTCATTAGATTGGGTGGCATCTCAGGTTCAGGTTCGGGTATGGGCGGTGTTCTGTCGAAATCAGTAAAGTGGTATTCTATTGTCTCAAGGTGGAGTCTCGGCAGATAAGCATATCTCCTTACTATGCTGCCGGCTACGTACATAATCTCTACGAAGCCACTGCATCTAGTCAGTCTCAAATGTATCAAGCTTCGGGTCACGATGATCAGCCGGCCACCGGGGCATTGGTTCCTATGATTAGGATCGCCGACGATGCTGCAGTCTTCCAAGGTCAACTCTCGGAGACGCTTGAAACCATAGATAAGCTTCCACAGGAATTTCACCTCAATCAACCGCCCCTCTTGCACCACCAGGGATCTCAGAAACCTGATTGATTATATTAGAAGCAATGAAAGAGATGTCTAGTTAGTTAACTAGCGCGCATAAGAAAAACTAATCAAAATCCCTAAGGTTTGGACACGGTGGTTCAATCATCTTACATAAAGCTGCAGGGGCTGGCGAATTGGAACTTGAAGATGTCCATGTCGCAGTTCCGCAGGGTCAAGTGTTTGAGAAGCTCCTGCCGCCTTCTTCCCGACAAAAGGCTGCTCAGGGAGAGTCCGTGGGGAGGCTGTGGCTGCGGGCGGCTTAGAAAGGACACGACTTTGGAGCGGCAGCAGATGCAGGCGCCGTCCACCAATGGCGCCGTGATTTTGGATCTGTCCTTATTGAATTCGATCCATCCGCAATTGGGATCCTCCGGGTCAAAATTCAGCCCCAGAGAGTCGATGGAGAACTCGGTACGGCGGTATCGCAGCCGGGTGCGGGCCGGGCGGAGAGGGAAGGGCTCTCGCCGGCGGATGACCTGGTCGACCCAGCTCAGGAATTCACCCACGGTGTCGAAGCACGAGATTGGGTAACCGTCGGGCATGAACTTGGTGATGCCGTTGCCGGTGAAGTGGCTGTTCGGCAACGCCGGCGACCTCCACTGACTCCGCCATCGCCGGGAGAGGACGCTGGTCCTCGCCGCCTCGTCAAGCGGCAGCGCGATGGCTATCTTGCCCAGTAGCTCCGCCGGCAATTTGCCAAAGTAAGGATCTCCGTCCATTCTCAATTCTCTAAAATTGTTATTAGCTTGAAACACAGATCGTGAATTCGAGATGGTGTCTCCCTCCCCTGTTCAACACTCGGTCATATTTACAGATAGAACTTGAACTTGGAAGCAGGTTCGGACTTCGGAGTCGGAGTCGGAATCTGTAATCCCAAAGGAGAAGGAAAAGAAAAAACAGAAGAAAGAAACAAGTCAAACCCAAACCTCAGAGCCCGTCTCCCCCAACTCCATTCTTCTGGGCTCTGGCCCATCTCGTAGCCCAAACCTATAGTTTACTTGTCAAACGATCCAAAAAATAGGTTAGGCCTTAAACCCCATTTTTTAAGAGGGATCTTAAAGCAATTCTATTGGCTGCTGGAATTTTAGGTAATTATCAGGGAGTTATTGGTTAAGTAGTTAATAAGGGTTTTTTAGGAATTATATTTAATAATAAAATTATAATAATTAACCTATTATTAGTCCACGTATTATTCCTAAATCTCATTCCGCAACCCCAGCCAAAACGTCGATCTCCACAAAGTTCACCTATGTCTCCTCGTTTCCCTTGTCGTTTGTCCGGCTTCCAACGTCCCTCACGTCCGTCGTCAATCCCTTCCTTCGTTCATCCTTGGCCCCTCGTCGTTAATCTTTCGTCGCCGTTTCTATCGCAGTTCTCCGTCAATAGCAAGCTTCTTGTCAGCTTTCACCCGTGCCGTCGATTTCTGACTTGCCGTCGAGTTCTCGTCGAGGTCACTGAAAGCTCCGGCTTCCAGCCCTACAACGTCCGTGTATCCTATTCGAGTTCCGTCAATACAAAGCTTTTTGTTTCTGTCAACAGCGACATAGATCAAGCTTCCGACATCGCTCACATCCGTTGTCGTTCCTTTCCGTCGTCGATCACGTCGTCAGCTTCCGGCGTTGCCCACATCCGTTGTCGGTACCTTCTTTTTCTCGCTTGTTATTGTTTTTAATGTTTAGGTTTTTCGTTTGTTTCATAGTTTTAGGGTTTTCGTTGTTTGCTAATTGTTTTGTTGTTATTAAGGTTATCGGACATGCTTTTAATTACATTGTATTGCGTTATTAACTTTTTATGGTCGTTTTTAAAATTAGTAAATATGAAATTGTTTTTACAATTTGTTGGTACTCGAAATTGATGCACTAATACAGTTTATTATCAATTTAAATCGCGATAATTTGTAATTTTTTAAAGGGCTAGGTCAATATTTTTTTCCCGGCCACAATACAACCATATTTATTTCATTATTAACAATTTAGTTTATGTTTGTAACTTTGTCCAATGACATTATCAACAACCAAGTATGTTACTAATTATGCTGCTTTCTTATTAATGGCGTACATAATCCTTTTTAATAATGTTATTATATGCCATGTATTTTTTTTAATGTTTCGTTTTGTTTTTGACATTAGAAATAGTGAATTTTTGTTTTCAATTCGTGGTACTTGAAGTTCATTCAGTATACTATCATGCTCAACATTTTTTTGTTCTTGTTTTTATTTGTCGAGTCTTAGGTTATTAATATATTTATGTGTAATTTGTATTATTTGTATTGCTCCACAATATGTCGTATACAAAGAATACATTGCGTAAGAGAGGTGATCGGGACGATTTGCAGTCGGTATATGTTGCTTTGCATTTGTATGATTTTTTTGTAAGTGAGGAGAAGGTAGATTTCAATAAGAGTAGGGGCAAGAGACGTTGATGATGATGAGGAAAATGTTGCAAATGATGATGAAATTATGTAATAGTCGATAACATTAATGACAGTGATAATCATATGCATAAATGTTGATAACGTTGCTCCCAAATATATAATATTGTGGCCAGCTATTTTGAGTGTATTTATAAATAATGTTTTGAGATATATTAATAATTTTCTGCTATTTCATTGAAAAATTCATCTCAAAAAATGATAATGTTCTGCTATTTCGACTGTACTCATTAATTATGGTTTGATATTTATTAATATTGTTCTACTATTGCATTGATAAATTCATAGCAAAAAAAAAAATCGATAATTAACTCATATGACTAACTCCGCCAATAGAACATATCAATGTATGTTTCGAACCATGGAATAATAAAACGTCAAATGATAATCGACCCTAAAAATGTCAAAAATAAACTAGCATTCAGCTCTCCTCATGCTGATGTAGACGAGGTTATTCCACAAGAACTTCCATCCGTGCTTTCTTGCACCATTCCAAAACTCTAGGAAAGTGAGAGCATAAGCACCATAGGAAGTGCCGCTTGACTGCCTGAACCCAAGGACAGACTCCCATATGAACTTATCGAAATTTATCTCTCATTTCACTTGCCAGCCACAAAAAGCAATGACATACAGGACAAATTTCTTCCCCATCAGTTCGTACTGTTATTTTTCCCCACTTCAGGCAAGCTTTGCATAAATTGGAATTGCTTCTTTCGTATATCAACACAATAGACAACAAAGTGTGTGCCGATGCACAAAGGAAAAACCACTGCAAAAGAGAATGTATGTGGAAATTGTTAAAATGGTGGATAAAACGTTAATAATACGGCAGTTAAAAGAACAAAATGAATAAATTCGATCCATTAAAAATCACAAATTGATAAAGGTTTTTTAAATAATTATCACACCACTACACTATTGTTAATTTTATTGTTTGAATTCTTAACAAGTGACTACATCGCTATGACAATACGTGGATCACTTAATCTGAGGTTTCCACAAAGTTATTAACACACTATAGTTACAATTTTAACAATATTCAACCGCGTTATCAACCCATATTATTATGCCTTATTAACCAATAATGCGACTATTATCAATTATATTACTACAATTATTAACAGGAAATGATATCGCTATGAAAACGTGATAACTAGTACATTTAAAAAAAAATTCCCTCCCTTATTAACATTTTCAATTACTTTATTAATAGAATTTTCAACTTCGGCAACATTGCCAAGCCCATATTTTTAAGCATAATTAACCGACCAGTACACTATTATTAATTTTATTACTTACATTATTAACGGGTAACTACATTGCCATGACAATACGGGGAGCCTTTAATCTAAGGTTTTGATCAACGTTATTAACACACTAAAGTTACAATTTTAATAGTATTCAACCACGTTATCAACTCATATTATTAAACTTTATTAACCGATCACACAACTATTATTAATTATATTGTTGCAATTATTAATAGAAAATTATATCGATGTGACAATGTGTTAATCAGTACATTTCAACTTTGTTCCCTCCATTATTAACATTTTCATGTTACACTATTAATATAATTTTCAAGTTCACCAACATTGTCAGCCCATACTATTTTATTATACATAATTAACCGAACACTAACCTATTATTAATTTTACTAACTTGAATTATTTAACTACATCAATATTACACTACGAGAAGCCTTTAATCTGATGTATCCAGCAACGTTATTAACACATTACAGTAACAATTTTAATAATATTCAACCACATTATCAATCCATATTATTACACCTTAATAATCGAAAACGACACTATTATTACTTATAATATTACAATTATTAACCGGTAACTACATCGATTTAACAACGTCATCAGCCATCACCACTACATATCAGCTTTCTTCCATGCCATATTAACATTTTCACATTTCGTTATTAATATCATTGATAACACACACAAAAATGACGAGATCACAAATACTTATCAACAATTAAGCTTTCAACTTGAGAGGAGATCATCTAATACCTTTCAACGAAAACCACAACCAACGAAAAACAACAATTAAGCTTTCACATATATATATCACCCAAACAACATAAAAACTTTCATACCAAAATCAAAAGGCAGTGCACGTTCCATACCACCGCCGGTTGCTCAACCACCAGACGTCGGCCGTGTTCGTCGGAAAAGGCAATGACGGGGCAACTAATAAGCTGGGATTGTCGGAGCACTAAGCGGCGGTTGCGGCGTCCGCCGCTCGCCAGCTACGGACGAGGGAGTCGTGGCCGTACAAGAAAGACACGACGAAGGAGAGGACGGCGACGGTTGGAGAGAACGCAGAGAGGGAGAGGATCAATGGTGGGAAGTTCTAGGGTTGGGAGGAGATGCATCTTTTCAAAATGGTTTATGGCGGCCTTTTTTGGTTTGTGGGATTAGTTTCCCTTTTTTCCTTTTTATTATACTGTCATTAATTTTTATGTGTATTACATCCTTGCCCTTATAGGTAGTTAGCCAATGATTGATGATGATGATCTCTCTCCTCCTCCTATTGGCTGAAATGGGTTTAAGATCCTCCTTAAGAAATAGGACTTAAGGACTGGACCTAACCCGAAAAAATAGTAGCTTATAACCGATTCGTTGGTCGGAGGAGTTGAGACGAATATTGAATTATTAATATGAACGTATTAATGCTCTTCATTCATGTATGCTGTGAGGGCAACATCTCATTAGTAACTTGTCATTAGTTGGTAATGGAATAGGGAATAGTGATATGAATTTGTTTCGGCGTTTAGGATAACAAAGAAAGCTGCAGAAATAAGACCTACTTCGATTTAATTAAACTTAACAAGAAGAAAACATACTATCTAGGGTAATGTCTATTTTTTATCTAAATGACTAAATCTTTTTCAGATTCTTTTATATTATCCAAACCTATTAAAATGCTATTAATTAGCCAAATTTTTTGTAATGCATCAAAATATTAGCCATTTTTACGCTATTGTTAATAATTATGTAACACTTTTCTTAGTTAAAATACTAAAATTTTGGAATGTTGACATTCATGTGTCTCTTCCCAGTTAGTATCATGTTGCCAAGTCAATATTACTAACAAAATTGCTAACTGGAAGTAACATTTGGCTAATTCTTAGTATTTCGATAGGTTTGGATAATATAAAAGAATCCGAAAAAGGTTTGGATAAAAAATAGACATTACCCTACTATCTATGTCCTTCTGGTTTGTTTTATCTTTCCACCATAGTGAGCATTCGCAAGAAAAAAGAGAATGTCAATAAAACTGAGGAACGTTGTTGACCAATGGTGCTATAGCATCGTGTTTTTTTTTTTTTTTTGAGTGATCAGAAGCTATGACAAACACATACAATCTTTGACAATAACAATAACAACATCAATGTTGTCAATACTTCCGTGTAGTGATGGCCTAGGTGGGATCCAAGGGTGGTCAGAGATTGAAAAGAGGAATGCACACTCTGGATACTCTGGATAGCAGCCTGTGCTAAAAAAATAAAGCATTGAAAATGGTAAAACTAATATACATGACTTTTTCTTCATTCAAATAAATCTTGTCATAACTAATAAATAATTACAATGTCAAAAATAGGATGAACTCTAATCATTACAACATCCAAATAAAGAATTTCATCAACTGCCCCCAAGCTTTCACTTGTCTATTCTCTAGTATATTAATTTTTTACTGGAACTGTATAAGTACTACGTAGAGGATATATTCATAACAACATAAATTACATCCATTGTTCTTTAGATCAACACCAGTTTCACTGAAAAAAAGCAAAAATGTCCATCTAAATGTCCACAACCCGGTAAGATGTACAAGTGGTTTCCTAAGTTGACCTGAAAAATAAGCAAAAATGTCGACAACCCGGTAAGAAAAAGCTGCATGCAGACTTAAAGATCTCTATGCACAACCCACACCACAGGAATAAGTAGCAAAAAGATTTGCAAACCCAAAAGAGAACTGAAATTTTTCTAGTTCTTGGAATTAACATCATGCAAAAGACACCCACATAAACAGATGCAAGTGTGTTTTTGTTGAAAGTTGAAGCACCCAAAAATTGACTGCGAAAACATTAGACATTGATATGATATAAGTTAAAGGTTGATGGCATTCCAATTTCCTCTTCAAACCCTCAAAATTTTGCACATAAGAAAAGCAACCTTAGCATATACATCTAAATGACAACTAAAAAAAATAATAATAAGAAAACCACTTGTACAGGAGAGAAAGGGATAAGCTCGAGGAAAGGGTTTTCTTCAAAGAGCAGGCTATGCATATTTCTGTAATTCAAAGAGGAGCGGCTTCATACCAGTAAACTACATGAATGTTAATCAGCTAGATCAACTCCACTAGAATAGTAATCAAGTAATCAAACTATGCATTGTGTCAAATGATATAATGTTCATACTATTTCTAAGCAAAACAATAGATAACAGTCGGAAAATAATAATATTGTACTCACCGAGAGTTATTATAACCTACTTCTATATGAACAACTAAACCGAAGACTTTAAAGAAGGCAGAAGAACCCTAAATTTAACTACAATCAAACACAAATCAGCAAGATTTTCGATTTTTTTGAGAGCCAACTACACAGAGAGAAAAATTGAAGTATATCTAAAATGCTCCAAGCAAGTTGAAGGCAAACCATAACTTTAAGATATTCATAATAGCCTTCAACTATTGATGCAGTGGCTGGCGAATTGGAACTTGAAGATGTCCATGTCGCAGTTCCGCAGGGTCAAGTGTTTGAGAAGCTCTTGCTGCCTTCTTCCCGACAAAAGACTGCTCAGGGAGAGTCCTCCGTGCGGCGGGCGGCTTAGAAAGGATACGACTTTGGAGCGGCAGTAGATGCAGGCGCCATCCACCAATGGCGCCGTGGTTTTGGATCTGTCCTTATTGAATTCGATCCATCCGCAATGGGGATCCTCCGGTTCAAAATTCAGCCCTAGAGAGTCGATGGAGAACTCGGTACGGCGGTTTCGCAACCGGGTGCGGGCCGGGCGGAGAGGGAAGAGCTCTCGCCGACGGATAACCTGGTCGACCCAGCTCAGGAATTCACCCACGGTGTCGAAGCACGAGATTGGATAACCGTCGGGCATGAACTTGGTGATGCCGTTGCCGGCGAAGTGGCTGTTCGGCAACGCCAGCAATCTCCACTGACTCCGCCATCGGCGGGAGAGGACGCTGGTCCTCGCCGCCTCGTCAAGCGGCAGCGCGATGGCTATCTTGCCCAGTAGCTCCGCCGGCAATTTGCCAAAGTAAGGATCTCCGTCCATTCTTATTCTTTAATAATAAATAATTACTTGAATTGTAGCACTGATTGTGTCTCCCGTGCTCCACCTTCTTTCTTATTTATAGGCCTACAGTACAGGTAAAATTCGGAACTTGGATATAGTTGGGAGTCTTGGGAGTTCGGATGCGGAAGCTTTTTTTTTTTTGTTTGTGAGATCGGATGCGGAAGCTTTACTCCGAAAGGAGAAGGAAAAGCAGAAAACAGAAGAAGGAAACAAGTTAGACCCAAATAGTTAGGGCTTTTTATTCGTGATTGGGCCTCATGTGTAGGCCTTTCCCTTTTTTGCTAGGACTATAAGACCGTTTGCCTGGTTTTTATAAGTGTTTTTTTCCCTTTCAAAACTAAATCAGAACCAAATATCACTAAACTAGCGTGGCCCGGCCATTTGGCCGGAGGAAGGTGATGTATGAAATTTGATAATGTAATAGAGTGTATAGCTTATTGTTGGGTAGTTTTTTTTGGGAAACACGTGATAAAAATAGTAAATTTTAGTAGGAAAGAGACATGAATGATGCAACGAATAAAAAATCAGGCTTATGAACCAAAATCGAGTATCTGTTACCTTGTGAAACAATATTGTTTTTGGTAATATGATGAGGTGGAGTAAGTTTTATAGAAAACAAATTCCAGAAAATCGAATAAAAAATCGCCTATCCCACCGGTTTTTGGGAAATGAGCATCTCACAATCGTTGCTAGCTTTTACTCGGCCCGTTGGCCGATTAATTTGCTTTATAAAACTTTCATCTTGTCATCATTGTGATTTCTGGTTTTTTGCCAAGCCATGATAAAATCTAAAGAAATCAAGAATGAACAACACGATTTGGGATAGGAACTATCGTTCCTGTATCCCTAGAAAATGGTGGTAAAGACGGACTCACCTGCCAAACTGGTTTGGGTTGAGATTTTTATCCGATATCAGGAAACCATGTGATTATAAATTAGACTTGATCAAAACGGGCCAAAACTTGAAATTCAGCCTGTTTGACCGACCCATGCCAAACTCTAATTATTCTGTACTTTTAAACTTTCTATTTGAAAATAAAAAATAATGAAAGAAAAAAGATGATTGCAATTCGCCATTTGCACATTACTGATTCGGGAATAAAACTATGGAATTTCGAAAGGAAACTGAAAATGTTTAGGATCGTTTTAATGTTAAAAATAACCAAATAGATCTTTCTGTTTGTTTTTTACTAACAAATGCCAAACGATTCCCTATAATATACACTATAATTTAATCATTATGATATCAAATAATTACATAATATATATTTGAAATGATAAAAATTGGACTAATTGGGTTGGTCGAGGTTGAACCATTGAATAACTTTAAAATACATTATATTTTAGCCACTAAAATATAAAAGAATAGCATAATATATATTATGCTATAGAAAATAGCTTGTTTTAGAATGACAAACCCATGATGTTCATTTGTTTTACTTGATGGGCAAATCCCGTGAAGGTCAGACCCATTCAGTTCTTTTATTTTATGATTAGCGGTTAGCCCATTAGAAACCATGCATTAGTTTATTGTTATTTTTTTTTCTTTTTAGCAATAAAAAGAGTATTGTTTTTGCCTTTTCATATATATTTTACCACCACGGAGAAATAAAAGGACTTAAAGAAAAAATTTGACACTCCTGGACCCGTTTAAATCCGTATGTGTACGGTAAGTTGGCATGTTCCACAGAGGAAAAAGAAAAAAATCAACACTCCCTATTCTACCCTTCCTACAAACGCTCCTCGAGCAGGAAATTTGAAATAGGGGAAGGGTTTTTTCCTCTCTGCGATTATATATTTTTAATTTTAAAATATACAACAAATGTACTTAGTGTGATTAGTTATGATCTTTGCTTTTCTTTAAGGTGGTCATGGTTCGAATCCTAGAAAGTGTCTTTTTAATGAATAAAAAAAGTAATTGTGAAGACCAAAATGTCCTTCCTACTTTCACTCTAGATGCAGGAAATTTGAAATGGAGTTTCAAGTTTTTTCATTTGCCTTTTATTTATTGTGTAGATAGACTAAAAGATCGATTTTTGAAAAGCTGAAGAATATTTTTGTGCAACATATAATCAGAAGCTCCCATGAAATTTTTGTTTGAAAATATATAATTATCCTTATCATATTTCAATTTTATTTCATAAAATATATTTTTTGTCATATTTATCATTTTAAAATTAAATTAAATTAAAAAATATTATTTAATATAAAAGAAATCAAACAAAATCCATTTTGACTATTTTTTAGGTTTTATAATTTTTATCATATTTTATATTAGAGATCCTTTTTTAGTAATTTTACATGATTCTTATATAAAAAAAGCACTTCCAACAGTTTTTCAACCAAACACTCAACTGTTTTTTTTAAGTACTTCTCTAAAAGCTCCATTCAAAAGCTGCTTCTGCAAAAAGGTACAACATGGCCAAACTAGCCTACTATATCGTTGGTTGAACTGATAATACCAGTACCGCGAGTCAAATTCATAATGGTACAAGTCGCAGTGGTAAAAAATTGTGTTTGATAGGTTTTACAAATTGAACTATGAGTCGTGATTATTTTAATTATATATCGATCAGGCTTAAAAACTTTGTGAAAAGTTCTCCAACGTCAATAAGACGTCATTTTGAGATAAAAATAATGCATAAAAAAGAGAAATCTTACCTTCATAAAAGAATAGAGAAATCAAACAGAGCCATCCACTTCAACAACGCTAATTGTCACTTACTCCATCCTTTTTGTGCCTTGGTAATTGATGCATTACTTCAAGATCAAAACAAAGGGTAAGAAGTGTTATATGATTCTGAAGGTTGACATGAAAAACGCATATGATAGAGTAGAATGACCCATCTTACTAGCGATTTTAGATCAGTTGAATTTTTGCTCAAAATGGATTGGATGGATAAAAGAATATATCTCAACTTTCTCTTTCTTAGTAATGATGAATGGGAAACCAGTTGGTTATTTCAAGTCCACCAGAGGAATGCGGCATGGTGATCCTTTATCCCCCTTTACTCTTTGCCTATGTACGAAGCAGTTTGTTGCTCTACTCCACAAAGCTCTTGATGAGAAACGGTTGGAGGGCGTTCAGGTGAATCATAGGGCTCCGCGGGTATCTCATATGTTTTTCACAATGGTTCATACTTGTTTTTTTATCGATGAAGGAATGTGATGCTCTTCTCCAGGTTTTACAGGACAATGAGTCGGAACATTGGACAAGAGGATGGCGATGCCATGGCTCTCGGGCTTGGGTTTGGGGCCATTGATGTTCAGGATAAGTACCTGGGACTGCTATCCCTAGTGTCACAGTCTAAATCTGAGACCTTTCGGTATTCGGAGGAGAAGCTTCTGCAGAAACTCAAAAGCTGGAAACAAAGACATCTGTCGTGGGCTGCGAAGGAAACTCTTTTGAAAGCAGGGGCGGCTGACCTACCATTGCATGCTATGTCTTGTTTTAGGCTTCCCATTACGCTATCTCGACGATTGAATAAGTATAAGGCCCGATTCTGGTGGGGTTATTTGCACGGGAGGCCGAGTATGCATTGGATGTTCTGGCGAAGGTTGTGTCGTAGGAAGCACGAGGGAATGCTCGGTTTCCGGGGTTTTGAGCTCTTTAACCAAGCCCTTTTGGCAAAGTGGTATTGAGAATCATCCAGGAACCATAATCGTTGTTGGCTCAGATCTATAAAGGGAAGTATTTCCCCAATATATCAATGTTATTAGCGGTGTTGGGTTCTCGACCGCCGTGGGATGCCAAAGCATACGCCATGGGTGTACTCTGTTGTTGAAAGGGTTGAGATGGCAGGTAGGGTCGTGTCAATTAATTTAGGTGCGGGATCAATGGATACCAGTAATTCGCCCGACCTCGCCAGAGATTATTAATGGTCACCGTTAGGGTTGCAAATGAGTCGAGCTGCTCGCGAGCGGCTCGACGTTCGACTCGATAAAAGCTCATTCGGAACTCGGCTCGTTTACTAATGAGCCAAGCTTGAGCTTATTAAATAGTATTAATTAATTAAAACAAACATTTTGATGTAATTTTTTTTTAATTTGGACAACAAAATTTATCATTCAATACAACGTCATTAATAACAAAATACAATAGTTGATTAATCATTTCACGACAAATGAGGGACAACCAATAAACTTTCAAACGAAGACAATTTTAACAAGATTTTGAACGTTGTGAACGGATTTGGTACGAACTTTGGGTTGTCATCAAATTTGAAGGCCAACCATTCCATCTGTCAATGACTCGACTTCATGAAAATTTGTGAATGATTTAGTATTTGAAGGGAATGAGGACGAAGAAGAAGACAAAAGGATCTGTTTTTCTTCGATCTCAATTCGTTGGAAAATTGTGTGTTCCTTACCAAACCAAAAATTAAAAAAATCACAACTTGTGCTTCTGTCATTTATGCTCTCAATGAACTCGTTCATGAGATAAGAAGTAAAGACGATGAAGAAGATAAGGCAGCTGCTAGGTTAAGCAGCTGCAGAAGAACGAAATGGGGAATCGTTGGGTGAGCTGTATGCTCATCCCTTTCTATTTATACTCTGCAATTCCAGGTCTACAGTAAAAACAGAAAAGCAAAAACGGTAAATTAAATTGACTGTAAATAAGCCGACACGTGGCTTTTCTTCATCAGGTAAAACACTAACGGCTATTTCCTCAAACGCTGCCGTTTCCTTCCTTCCTCTGTTTCTTCTTCTTTGCATCAGCAGCAGCTCCAGCTTCCTCTTCTTCTTCTTCTCTGCTGCTGCTAGTCTCATCTGTTACTCCCCCACAAGTTGGCGAGTGCATATCAATCACTCCCAACTTGTCCAGCAAGAATTTCAATCTATATCTTGTCATCCCTTTTGTAAACATGTCTGCCAATTGATCTTCAGTTCGAACATGATTCAGTTTAATCATACCTGACTTCAGTCTTTCTCTCGTGATGTGGCAATCTATTTCAATATGTTTAGTCCTCTCATGGAAG